CCTGAACTTTATCTTTATTTTGTTGTAATGATTATTTTTTGGTAAAATAAAAACCCTTTTTGGAAATTCTCTTGTGACTCCTCTTGCCTAACTGCTTGGTCCCTCACACTCTGTAAGAAGTTATCTCTTCTGTTAAATACAGACAATCATCTCTGACACATACTCACTCCCAAAAGTTGAGCCTCCCTCCTTGTTGTGAATCTGAAATGATGGGGAAGACTCCACCTTGTAAGACCACAGACCTGATGATGACAGACAGGAAGCCTGCAAGCATGACACCAAGCTGGAAGGAAAAATTTTGAAATTTTTTGTCCTAGTAGTGGTTCCAATTTCTCAGTTTGTTACACTTAATAATGCATTATTTTGGTGTTTTGAATCAAATGTGGTTAATATGTAATGACTTTTTATTTTTGTATGAGTGGAGAGTAGTTTCTTGCTGTTGTGTATGAAACACTGGTGGTGTCACTAGCAACCACAAAAAGGTCTGACACATGCATGGTAATCCTTGACTTGAGCACTCTGAATTCCCTCATGAATCTGTGGAATTAGTTCCGGTCATACCAACCTGGAACACATCAGTCCACACCACTGCCTTCAGACCACCCTGTAACAGTGTAGATCACAAACAGATAGGTACAGATTTACTGTACATTAAAATCTGGGAATTTAAAAAAATACAGGTCCTGGGAAAAGCATTTGCACAGCAGAGTCCAGTTGAGCAGACTTTGTTGCGTACCATTGTGCAGTAAAAGGTGCAGACCACGCCCGTGGAGATCACTGCACCCCACAGATCCATACCAGTTACTGCAGAGAGAGGGAGGGTTTCAGACTCACTCGACTGATCAACACCAAGCAGCTGTAAGTGCTCTCGTGCAGGAATGTGTCATGAATCTGGCCCGCTGTGGACTGAAACCAACGTACCTTGGTTTAAAGCAAGAGCTGGGGCATAAATGACGATTCCAGTGTAGAGGATCTGTGACAAAGAGAAATAATACACACACGTAAATGATCCTTAGTTGTCAGATTTGCTGTTTTGCCCTCAAGACGTCAAAGCCCCGTCATTATGTGTTGACTGGCTTCTTACTCACGGTCTGAACAATGAAGAGCACAGTTCCCAGCAGACGTGTTGCTCTGTTGAAACGCAGCTCCAGATACTTGATAGACACAGAAAAGAACAGACGATACAAAAGGCCAGTATCAAGAAAAATAGCATGAGAATTCAAGACGTTATCGTACCCTGTTATCACACTCAAAATGAGTGACACTCCCCCTTACTTTGGATCCAAGAGTTCCTTCTTGATCCCACATTTATCAGCCTCTATCCACTGCTGGAGAGGATGGGGAGGGTTACTTTAATGTAATGTAATAAAATGTAATCTGATACAATTACTAATTACCTGTTAGAAATGTGGTCAGTAACCTAATACAAATATCACAATATTAATGTACTTAATAATTAATCTAACTTGATATCCAGTATCCTGGCTCCCAGGCCTACTTCTGGACCACTTCACCTTAACTTTACTGCCCAGAAATTCCAATAATCTGTTATAGAAATAAAAAAGGACAATAAATCAGGGCTAAAACACACCTGAGCATCAAAACCACTCTACAATGCAACTTACTTACTTAGAAAAAACAAAAACAAAAAAGAGCTTCCAATAGGTGATCAGCTGATATTAGCTGATAAGAGAGGAGGCTAAATGGGAAACTTAAAGCCATCCTTCCCCAGCCCCTTACCTTTACCTGACTCTATTTCAACACACTTTTTGGAGCAGAGCCATATCAACCTCAGGCTGGGCCAAACGCATGCACCTCAGCCTTTTCATTGTCATTTTTAACCACTCTTACATCAACCTTTTTGTTTGCACAGTAAGACAACAGCAGTCAAATATCTGCTTCAGTTCAAAAACAAAACATTTTACTTACATATTTCATGGCTTTGTGAATGTAACGGAACAGGAAAACCACATGAACGCTATTCTAAAAACCAAACCGCACTCACCTCATACGTGCTGGTGATGGCCAGCCTGTAAAAGACTGGAAGGAAGACCTCAGATGTGACCACCATCGTCATTACATAGGAGAGACCATAAAATCCAATATTGGCTCCATAGCGGTAAACCTACAGGTGGATGATATGATTTAATGTTTTTTTGGATTTTGGTAACCATGAGTTGCCTTTATAATTGCATTGGTTTTTAATGAATAGCCCTGCTTCAAAGCTCATAAGTTTAAGTCCCATGCAGGTCTCATTGTCTACCATTATGTCTCTGATTCACTTGATAAATCAGAGAAAATGCACTGGGAAAATGATGCATCTCTCTAAAAAGAAAAGTGTTCTTGCATTCAAAAATGCAATCTGCAGACAGAAAAAGACACAAAATAACTTTTCAAGAGAATTCTTGAATTTGTTTCTTTGGAATCTGCTTTAATAACCTCACCTCGGCCGGGTTGGACAGCACGGTGATAGCTGACATGAAGCTGGCAGTCAGGGACAAGGAGACAGGCAGGGCTGTCAGTCTTCGGCCCCCCATTAGGAAGTCTCCCGAGCTTCGCTGGCCCCTGTCCGCCCAGGCGTAGTAGACCCCGACAGCGGCGGACACCACCAGCATGAGAGCAAACACCACATAGTCTGCTACCACAAAGGAGCCAGACATGAGAGAGTCCCCTGACATTTTGGTACGAGTCAGACCCAAACTAGAAATAAAACTACTGAGAAAGTTATCCAGACTGTTCAGTGTGGATCACCTTCTAACATAACACTGCAGGAAATGAAACAAAACAGCCATGACACCATTTATCTCCTGAACGTGTACATTTTATATGTTTGTGTTCTTGTCTCAGCATTCCAGACAGGTACATGAAGTGAATATCCAGAGAGTAGGTATTGTTTTTATGGCCACGCACAAAGACAATAGTTACTAATTATCTAGAACAGTAGACATGGTGTTTCTGTAAGGTTTGACATTAGGGATTTAATGCTTGGGAGCTGATTACAAAGCCTGTTAGGTTTATAGTTTGTTCAAATGTGTTCTTCATAGCTTAGTTAATATGTCAATACTTAGAAATAAGTTACCCTTCTCTAAATATGTGAATTACAATAATCTAACTATCACCTACACCACTGGTGGCAATGAAATGTTCCAGAAAGCACTTGGAAAAGTCTTTAAAAACAAAACTAAGGTAATTACTACTCATACCTTACTGTCACATGTGCTGGGCACCGATTCCTTCTAGGCCTACTAATAATAAAGGATGTCTTCAAATTCTGATATTAACTACTGATTAGTCTAGTATTAAAAACAGCAGTCCCAGCAATTTGTTTTATAAAGGTCAGACCATTGTCTACTAATGTACAGTTTAGTTTAGTTATACGCTGCTTAAAATATTTTGCACACCATTCGGGCTACTGCATACTGCATATAGTGTGTATATTATATTTTCTATTATATTGATTGTACTTTTACACCTCTGTACTTTTTGCACTACATTCCCCTGTGCTGCTGTCTCTGACTTAAATTTATCCCACAGGGGATCAATAAAGGAACATCTTAATCTTGTTTTAAGGCTTTGGAAGCTTTTTTGATTAAATGATGTGAAGCAAGCATAATCTGCAGGGGGGAGGGGTCTGCATTCAGGTTGCAAAATCTCTTTGAGAAGTTCTTCGAATCCCACTGATAGCCTTTGCCTGTAACATGATATAAAGCTATGGGAACAGTTTTTTACAGCAACAGGTGTCAGACACAGTGCTCACAGTGGTGGGACAACGTCATGACGTATGCTTTTACCACAGCATTAATACTGGCGTATGGTGTCAATTCTAATACAAACCACTTTTGAAAAATGTCCCCTTAAGAATATACCTGCTATTCTAAAATAATAAATCAATTGTTAGGTGCTATGAAGTCATGTGATATCAGTCAGGATAGCCGAGCGGTCTAAGGCGCTGCGTTCAAGCTGGAATGTTTTTTCATTTGAGCAATTTATTAATTAAATAAGCAGAAACAGTATACATATATAAATAGTAGAACCCCAGGACTAAAGATGATAAATCATAAATGGGCTTTGGAGGATTTGCAGAGTGACCTGTTTCTCAGTGACTTGTTAATGCCACCAGATGGAGCTCTTTACCAAGAGTGTCTTCTCTTTGGGCTTTCCTTATTTTATTTATGAGATTAAGTATAAAACTGGAAAATCTTACATTTTTTAAAATGCAGATGACAACTCATAACAAATCCCCCGGTTGAAATGTATGGCTAATCAGATTTACCACTTCCATAATCCCATGTTTCATATTCACCATAACCCCTCTATACATGTATGGCCATAGGGTTGAGTTATGCATGTAACAGTGATAAAGCCACTGACTGAAACTGAATACATATTTGCATTAGCTATGCAATGATAATGGGAGTAATGTGGATACTTTTCCACTTTAACAATCCAGTCAGTTCAGTTACCATTCTTCCCATGGTTATTCCCTTTCCAGGCAATGTATTTTCTTATCCTCCCTTGGACACTCCCTCACCGTTTATTTAATCAACACAATTCCCTCTGCAGGTCCATCCTCACACCTACATAATCTCATCTGTGCCATGACTGGGTTCATTATTTGAACAATGTTTGAGCTTGGACGCCAGAGTTAGGATCAAATTATCCTGCCTTATGAGCTAAATCATAAAATATAGGTTATAAATAAGTAAGCCCCATCTAATCCATATTATCTTGCTTAGGCTCTCTACTATAGAGCACGGCTTCACAAACATCAAAGGAGGGAAAATATCTATTATTGCATAATGACGAGCACTGATTGGGCATTTTGGCCTGATTGTTTAGTAAGACAGAATACAATCTATTTCTTTTCAGTAACTCATATAACATCAATAGAGTATTGTAGTGCAAATCAAGTCTTGTGTGAATACAGTCCTTGGCTGGATACACATACTAATGTTTGGATGCAGCTCCTCAGCATTTCATGGAGGATATTAAGTTTACTCTGCTTGTGGGGGTCGATCAAACAGACAGTGAAAATAAACAGAGAATTACCAATGTGATGAAGTACACCGTAAGGGGATGTTCCACATGTTTTTAGTTGGATTAGCAGTGTGGCTCTAGGGATAGCGATGCTGGTCTGCTGATTGGTCTTTCCAGACTGAGATAGTTCAACAACCATTGGATGGATTGCTATTAAATTTTCATTTATTTATTATTTCATTTTCATTTTCAAGGACATTTATGTTCCCCAGGGGATAAATATTTCTGAATTTGGTGATCCTGACTCCACAAACAGGTCAAAATGTTCACATATTCAGTGTTATATCTCAATATCTACATTATGGGTTGACACAAAATTTATTGCATGGTTCCCAGATGATGCGTCCTAATGACTATAGTGATCCACTAACACTAACACTAAACAGAATCAGATAGCGTAGCATTCCTGGTATATTATTTCTCTTGATATACCTCTGATTGAGACAAACACCTCTCTGATAAACTGATAAACACTTTGGATATTACATCACAGATTTGATTCATGTGGTAATACAGGACACAGAGACCATGAATACTGTGTGTCATGTTGCTTATTACTTTCAAGAGCAGAAGTCTGTTCACTGTTCTGTGACAATAAAATCACTGTTTGTTGGTGTTTCTGTGCTCAAATGTTAAATGAAGTTCTATCAAGAGCTTGGTTAGAATGTTGAGAAGCTAGAGCACGCGATGAGAATGTTCATTATTCTAGAATGCTGACACAATAATGAACATCTTGGTTGGAATCTGCAAAAACCTCATTTGCATCTGACAACCTGAACCGAGTACTATCTCTTTGTCTTGTGAGAACAAATCCTTCAAACTATTGCAAAATACAACATCTAAATCTACGGATTCAACTTCAACAACAACTATCAGAAAGTGCTACAATTCTGAAACTCCAGTACAGTTTTAAGTTGAACTCCAACTGTAACAACTATCTCCTCTGACATTGCTGTATCTTCACTGTGCCGACATGGACAGAAGATCTGGTACAAGAAACTTGGTAAGATTTTCTAATTTTCTCTCTAACCCAGCAGACTTTTCTTCGTGGTTCGTCAAAAGCGTCAGTAAAACCTATTAAATCATTTGCTTGCAAGCGGATTAATATCCATACAGCTTGTTATGTTAATGCATCATTAATCATTTCTTATATCCAGTAAGCCACACTGAGAAATACCTCTGATATCTTTTGAACATTAATAGCAGGGGATCATTTTATAATTGTAGTTGGGTTTCTTAGGCAAAAATGTGCCATATTTTTTCTCTCAGGATACCAAAACAGATGCTATCAGTGTCGATTATAAATGGTAAAAAGTAGCCATGCATGTGTGTATACCATGACCCAAACCTTACTTTAAGTTCCACCTAAATAATGTGATTACACATTCACTAATTCACACTGAAAATAGATGTGGCAGCATGTCTTTGGTCTTTGGTAATAAGGTAATAAATTCATTTTTAATAGTCTATGGTCTAAGCAATGTTTGGTCTTCATAGAATATGTGTGTTGTTGCTCTCTGTTGAGGACTGCCCCAAGGAGTGTGGTCCTTACAGTAGATTTGTCTGTGACTTAGTGCACAGGTTGAGTTTATCTGTGTCCAATGCCATCACAAGACTGTACTCTGTGTAACATGCATGTTTCTGTCTTTCAGTCATTTGGGCCAGCGCATGTTGGTGCAGTCTTTTCCCAGCAGCACCCTGAATCCATCGTGCAAGGACTCAGAGAGGCCTTGCTCTCTGCTATCACTCAGATAAAGTCTCTTGAAGTTGAAAATAAAGCCCTGAAAGAGCAGGCTGGCCTGATGGAAAGCAGGCAGATGGAGGTGAGCCAGCTCCAAGAGGAGCTGAAACAAAAGGATAACCTCCTCAAAAGAGAAATCAAGAAAAGGCGGGCCAGAAAGCCCCATGTGGACACCTTTGGGTCCTGCTGAACTTGCAGAAAGAGAAAGAGCTGAAGACGAGTCGAAGAGGAGTGGAGGAGAACATGTGGATGTTCTGGAGGCCGGAGCGCTCATTCTAAGAACCAACCAAAGCTTTCAGGTTCGCCTGCCTCAGCTCAATAATTTTTCTTCAAAATGATGACTCTTGTTGTTAAAGCTGGTTTTAGAATTGTCAGAAAAAAATAAATAAATACTGTTTTTGTCTTTTCAGAAACAACTCACTTTGAACAAAAAGAAGCAGAAGCAGTGGGTGAAAAAAGTGAAGAAGGAGCAGGAAGAGGACACAATGAAAGAGAAGGAACAGGAGGAGAATGAGATGAAGAGCAAGAAAGAGAAAAGATGGAAAAGCGAAAGAGAAGAAAAAGCAAATAAGATAATGGAGAGAAAGGATGGACAAACAAACAAAATGAGAACGAGATGAAAAGGGTGAAGAAGAAAGAAATGATGATAAAAAGGAGTCAAGTAGAAGGAGGAGAAAACCAGCAGAAAGAGGGGTGCAGACTGACAGGCCCCATAGTACAGAGGCAAGAAACTGCCTGGTTTTAACTCCAGTCAGACACCAGCAGGAGATGATTACTACTGAACCCCCCCCACCTTCTACTCCCTCCCTACCTTACCCTCTCCCCCTTTCCTACCCCATCCCTCTTCCCCTTTCCCC